CAGCACAGAGCAAGGAAAGACTGCATGGTTCAAAATCAGTCAGGGATGTGTCCTGTCTCCATACTTTTTCAATATGTATGAAGAATAGATCATTTAGGAGGCTGGCCTTTATGAGGAGGAGTGTGCCATCAGGATTGGAAGAAGACTCATCAGCAATCTATGTTATGCAAATGACACAACCTTGCTTGCTGAAACTGAGGAGAACCTGAAGTGCTTGCTGTAGAAGGTCAAGGACTGCAGCCTTCAATATGGATTGAAGCTCAACAACAAGAAAACAGAGATTCTCACCATTGGGCTGACTGGCAACATCAAGATAGATGGTGAAGAGATTAAGATTGTTAACAGCTTTAGTTTTCTTGGATCCACAATCAATACCTTGGAACCAGCAGCCAGAAAATCAAAAGATGAATTGCACTGGGAAAGTCTGCAGTCAAGGAGAATTGATGCTTTTGAGCTGTCATGCTGGAGAAGAGTATTAAATATACCATAGACTGACAGGAGAACAAACAGGTTCTTTCTACAGAGAGTGAAAGCAGCTTCTCTTTGGAGGCAAGGATTCTGAGGCTTAGTCTGTCATATTCTGGGCATGTTGCGAGGAGGAACCGGTTCTTGGAGAAGGACAGCTCAAGAGAGGAAGACCTTTGATGAGATGGATTGACTCAGTGACTAGGATAATGAAGGCAGTGTATCAGAGACAATAAGGTTGGCATAGAATGGAGCAGGTTTCATGGTTATCGTACATAGGGTCTCTATGAGTTCAAGTGACTTGACAACACATAACAATTACCACATGAATCAAGGTCAACTTGATAGCTGATAACAATATAAAGATCACTACCAGTATAAAATGTTTTCTGGGACATTCAATGACTGATACTCTTCAAAATAATTTTTAAAAGACCTTATATCTGATAAAAATGAAAAGTAGAGTATTTAGTTTTTAAAACTTAAATTTTATAGAAAATTACAAAAGAGTTTAAGAGCAACATTCTATTAAAGAAATCAACTGAATTCACAATTTAGTTCCAAAGTCATAATACACTAGAATATTCCTACTGAATTTATTGTTATTCAAATCAACTTCTCAAATTTAACATTGATTAACCAGTGAAGTTAGCAGCACATTCTGCATTGGAAGGTTTGGTTCTTCACACTCTGGATTTAAACTTGAATTCATTGATTTTTTCTGGGTCTTAATGACCTAAATGAAAAAACAAAACACAATATGAGCCTGGTGTTTGAAAGGCCACTCTCATTTTATTCTTCATCCATATTCCCTCTTCTCCTCATGAGCCATACCTACCATTCACTGTCATTGTTCAAAGACTGTTCCTTTCCTCTCAGCTATCTCACTTAATGCATTACTATTTTGAGTCACCCCCTTCACCAATGATCTTAAACTTGAACGCAGTTATTCCCCATGCATGGATACGTTTTAATGAGATGAGAGTTCCACAAATGAGGTGACAGAGAATGACTGAACAGGTTAGAAAAACATTAGAGAAGGTCTTATTTAGGGCAGAAGAGTGTGTAAAGTACATGAAAAGTAAAAGTTTATCTTGGTGCAATTACTGTTGCTTAGATTACAACACAGGAGTGCTGAATTGAGATGCTGAGAAATGGAATCATTTGTGTGCATGTGTTGTTGTTTGCCTGACTATGTCAGAATTTCTCCTTGAATCATTTGCATTTCAATTCAGCTTTGAAAAACTTTCAACTTAGACATCGAAACAGCCAGAACTTAAAAACATAAAAAACTAAAAATAGGAAACTAGAGACAACAGCTTATAAATGAGGATGATAGCAAAGTAATAAGAGAGAATAGGTAGTGTAATCACAGAGTTTCTAAATGGAGGGGAAGTCAAGGTATTCTTGAGATAAACGGAACTGTTTTAGACTTGGGAAGAAAATAGAAAGTTACAGGATAACCTCCAAAAAACTAATAAACCATATTATCTAAATAAAAAAGAGCAAAGTAAAAATGTGTTTAAAAAAATACTAAAGCAAAAAAAAAATAAATACTAAAGCAAGAGCAATGAATGAAATATTGAAAAAACCCATAAATAGAATGAGCTCAGCACAGAAATTAAATGGAACAAAGAATCTAGCAATACCATAAAGAGTGTAGCAAAATGATAGTAATAAAACCTTGCTTACCAATAATTACACTGAATGTGAATGGATAAAATGCACCAGGGAAGAGAAAATGAGTAGCAGAATGAAATAAGAAAGCACAACTCAATCAGAATGCTTTCTATTAGAGATGCACCTTAGACACAAAGACAGACTGAAAATTATAGGATGAAGTAAAACATCTATCAAGCAAATGGCAATAAAAAAGAACAGGAGTGGCAATATTAATCTCTGATACAATAGACTTGAAGGCAAAACCCAGCATATAAGATAAGAAAGGATGTTGTATAATGAAAAAGAGCCAATAGAGCAAGAGAATATAATTAGAATTAATACTATACACCTAATGATACAGTCACAACATACAAAAAAGAAGCTTTAATAGATTAAAGAAATAGGCAACTACACAATAATGGTCTCTATCATAGCTGTTGAGTGAGAATCTACTCATCATTGACCTTTCAGTGAGTTTTCTGAGGATACAAATCACAAAGAGGTGACTATCTTTTTTTCTGACAGAAAGTCCTATAGTGGATTCAAACTGCCAGAGAGATGCTACATCAGGATTAGCAGTACAGCTCCCTTCAGACTGCACCACTAAAGGACCCTACAATAAGAATTGTTGTTATTTACTGTTGAGTCAGAAACAACTCTCTGCTGATCCTCCAGCAACTTTTAAGAGGCTGTAAATCACACAAGAGGAGATGGTTCATCTTTTTCCACAGAGAAGCTGGTGGATTTGAATTGCATTTCTTTGGATGGGTAACACAATTCCTTATCCCCTATACCACCAGAGCTCCACAATAATATTAGAAGGCCTTAGTACACCACTTTTAATGAAAGACGTTATGACTAGAAAGACACTCAACAAGCCACTGAAGAAGTAAACTATACAATTAAACCAACTTGATTTCATAAACATGAAAGATGGAGCACTCCACCCAACAAAATCTCGACATATGTTCTTCCCTAGTGTACATGGAAAATTCTCTAGATCAGACCATCTGTTATTTTACAGCTGAGATGGATTGATTCAGTGACTGGGGCAATGGGAATAGGTGTGTCAGAAACAGTGAGATTGACACAGGATAGAGCAGGGTTTAGGGCTATTGTACATAGGGTCGCTATGAGTCACAGATGATTCGGCAGCACTAAACAACAGCAACAACACCACCACTCCATAAATTAAAAATTATTGAAACATTACTAAGCATTTTCTTAGATTACAATACTAAAAAATTAGAGATCATCAACAGGATGATCAATAGCAAAACCACATACATGTAAACTAAGTAACACTCTGGTTAAATAATGCTGGATATTGTGGGAAATTAAAAATTAAATGAAAAAGTTTTCTGAAACAAAAATGAAAACTCAATATTCCAACACCTTTGGAACCCAGCAAAAGCAGTACTCTGAGGTAAGTTTATAGGAATAAATGTTTTATTGCTCTTTGCTGTTGAGTCACTTGTGACTCATGGAAAACCCTGCTCTGTCCTGTGCCAACCTCACTGTCTCTGACACACTTGTCCCATTATTCCAGTCACTGAATCAATCTTTAAATATATGCAATAAAAATAAGGATTAATCAAAACCAACGCCATAACAGAACATCACCAATAATTACAAGAAGAGTGACAAGAAATAATATAATAAAACTTGGAGCAAAAATAAATGAAACTGATAAATAATCAGAAGAATCAACAAGGCTAGACGTTACTTCATCAAAAGGATTAATAATATCAATAAACCACTAGCAAATATAACAAAAGATAAGAAGGAGAAGACATTAATAACTCCAATAAGAAATGAAAAAGATGACACCATAACAGAAGTGACAGAAATGAAAAAAAAAATAGTGGCAGAATACTGTGAAGAACTATAATATGTTTGAAAACCTAAAGAAAATGGATAAACCTTTAGAAACTCACTGTCTACCTAAATTAACACTTGCAAAAGTAGAAAATTTAAATGGACCAATTTAAAACAAAATCAAACAGGTTATTTAAAAACCTCCCAACAAGAACAACAACAAACAGCACCCTCCACCCCCCTCCCAGCACACCCCTCCAATCCCCAATTAAAAAAATTCTGGTCACACTTGTGAATCCTACCAAACATTCAGAGAAAAGCTAACACTAATCCTACTGCTTCTGTTTGAATCTTTCTGCTTCTAAATCCACTGTCTCTTTCTAATGCATCTCCTCAGTTAATTGCTACAATATTCTTTTACTAAAGTATCAACGTGATCAGGCATGATTTTATTTTGCAAAAAATCTTTCCATTTCTTAACATCTTTTTGTTTCTGAGAAAAGACTACACTATTTGGTTCCCCTTTGCTTCTTGCCTTATCTTTCCATATCTTCCACATTTATTCATTATGTTCTTTCACATGTTTTAGTATTTGCATGTTCCATATCTTCTCTATTTCTGTCCAATGTCTTTACATTGTTAATAAAAATAGCATCTGCCTTAGATTGATTTCTCTTGATGCCCAGGCACTGAGATAAATGATATTTATGGAGAACTATTAAAGGAACCAAGTGCTGGAGCCAGGGCTACCACCAATTCTGTCTTATTCCAAAACTCTGGTTGTTAATGGCTTTGTGAAAATATTTTTCTGTCTTGCTAATTTCCACAAAAATTTTATTACAGAAAATATCTTATCCTTTAAGTCTTTATGAAGTTTATTTTCTTCTATGTCTATTTTAAATTTCTTATTTAAAATTGAGTTCAAAGGTACTGCTTCCATTTTTATGCCACCTGTTGATTGCATGTATAACAACAGCAAGAATCTAAGGTTCCCCAAAGCCAACCCAAACTCTTTACCATTTAGGCCAAGCAATGCTCTTCTGTTCAGTTCTCACCTTAATTAAGCTGTGAACTTCACATGCCAATTTCAACTTGTATTCAATTGTTCTCAGTTTAAAGCAATATAGTCTAAGCTTATCTCCTTCCTTACAATTAATGTTGTGCCATTTTCCACTCCCTACGACATCCATCTTTCCTGTGTCATCTTGAATTTCATAGATTGTGTTCTTTAAATTCACTTTTTTCTGCAACAGAAAATTAACACCCTGTTTCAGAGAACAAAATAACTGCTATATGTATAAGAGGGTCCGCAGGACAACATTAAATATAGACTTTAAGAAAGCAATGGCATATACAGGTGCATATGAAGCTCAGGTTAGGTCACCTTGGAGCTTCTTCCATTTATTCAAACTTCTTACTAGCATTTCCTGTTCTGCATGTTTTTATGTCTAGTGTTTCTAGAACAGTGCCTAAGTTTCCCATTTCTACCTGCTTCTATTTGCAAAGAAGCTAATATTGATTTAAAGCACATCAATAGAAGAATAAAAAAGTCTTAGAGGACATCTTGGCTGCCATCTCTAAGCAGAAGTAACTGAATATCTAAAAGAACTGTTAAATAGTGAACAATTCTACATACAATATCTGGTATATTATGAGAAATTGACATATGTTTCAACTAAATCACTAATTATTTTTCAAATGTCTCCTTTTACTTATGCTTCTTCAATATCTTATCTTCACTGATACAGATTTCTCAGCTCACATTTCATAGTACATTAATTCATCTAACTTGTTCTATGCCAATTTTCTATGCTTTTAAAGGGTATTTCTAAAAACAGTAATGAAGGTAAAATTAAGCACTCTCCAAGAAAACAGGTATAGTGCAATTTTGAAACAATAACTTACACAGGATGTTGATTGTGTTTATATAAGTTTGTAGAATTTAAAAGTCTTAATATACCATTCTAACTTGCATCCCGAATTTGGACATGTGTCAATAAAACTGTCTATGTGTGTCTGTCTCTCTTTCTTACTTTCTCAGACTGAGAAGCTAAAATTACTTTAGCATCCAAAAATCATGCGTTCAGTATTTATCAGTTCACTAACAACTTCATGAATAAGAGATATATCTTAAATAAGAATAAGATTTATTTTTATGAGTAAGTGAATAATAGGATCACAATGAATGGTAGGTTATCAAATCCTTAACTGTTCAATGTATTTCTGTCCCTGATAGACAAACTAATCTACTTAGTACTCTAATATCACAAGCTCCAAAGTTGGTAGAGAATTAAACTTTTCAAAGTAAATATCTCAAAATGCAAATTAAAGTTATGATTTATATAGTTTGGGTAGAACTCAAACATTTTAAAAACATTGTCAAATGCCAAGGTCTTAGTGAATATTTTTAAAAGCATTTCTTTTCCAATGTTCATTAACTAGGCAAAGCTCTATTTGGAACATCAAGTTATTAAAGTTTAGGTATTGAGGGGAGAAAAAGAAAAATTTAAGGTGTTACCTTATGTAATGCAAACAACCCATACACGAATGTTCCTGATGCTTGCTTTTGAATAGTATCAATCTTGGGAGTTTCATTTGCTCTCTTAATAATTCTGATTGGGGGGTCAATCTTTTGATTAGGACCAGCTTCAGATACAGATGATAATTCATTTATCTCTAGTACGCCTCTATGTTCAAAATAATGTGTAAGGACAATGATCCTCCTTAAGGTAAACTTCTCCTTCAGGTTGACGTTTAAAACCTTCACATAGAAGTATTTATTCTCTGTAACCACAGTAGCATGAAACATCATGCTTTCACCCTTTTCTGGACACTTATATTTAAATGGCTCTGTTACTTTCAGGACCATCACTACCAGTGGGCTTCTTTGGAGAGTATTTCTTTTAGTAGCTCCTTCACATTGCCTCTGCTGTTCTTGATTCTGTGTTTGAAAGACAAGAAAAATAAAGAACGGAGCAGGAAATACAGTCTGTTTCCAATGAAAGAAATCTCAACGACAGCATTCTTTATAACTCAGAAACCTTCACATCAACTTTCACAGGTTATAGGAACTAGGACCAGGTTCTACAGAAGGAATGCTTGGAAGAAAGGACTTGATGAGTCACTGGCTTCATTTAGATAGAGCAAACAAGATTGAAGACAACAGGCATAAAACACAGTTGATTAAACAGAATCATATTTCCAAGTAAATTACAATCTTCAGTTACTGAAACTTAGGTTGTAGATGATGAGTATTATCCTGATCTGATTTAAATGTCAAATTATAAACAAATATAAATTCACATATACCCTGTAATGATTTAAATTGGAAAAAAAAACGAGTAAAAAAGTAGTGTTATAAAGGAAGCAAGTGGACCACCAAAACATAAATGCCAAAGATCTGGAAACATTTTAGAAATTTAATCCTTCTGTTAAAATAATAAAACTTGATAGAGTATTAGTTATTCCATGACACTGCTTTGAGAAATTTATTAATCTATTTACAAATAGAAATAGCTAAAAGAGTATGGTAGAAAATGGTTAGTATCTATACAGTAGTGTTTAAAGTTTAGCTTTCAATTTAAAAGTAACTTAGTCTTCTTGATTGGAATCTGTAAACATTTTTATTTTCCCAGGGCTTTTTTTTTTTTTTTAATGAGACCTGACAATAACTCTTTATTCCCTTCCCTACTCCCATCCAATATACATGTCCTGTTTGATTATTAACTGCAACACACATTGTCTGGTCATCTATTCATTTCAGATTGATCTTTTCCTTCCATTATTCATTACGTGTTCATTGTCTATCCATTATTTTCCTGCTCTTCCTGTCTCTCCAGCCATCCATAAACATCCTATTTTTATTTTATTTTAGTTTGCTTACAAATTTCATTTACATTGTGTTTTAGACTATTCTTCATTCACATTGTGTTTCATACAATCATTCTCAGGCATTATGTTTTATGAAGTTACTTATCATTGGACCTTGTCCATCATTGCCCTATCTTTTCAGGAGAGACTGCTGGATCCTTCCATTTCCTTCACCCACCAAATTTTGGAAACTTTTGGTTTTTCCCCTACGTGTCCTCCCTCTTCTATTCTTGCCCTTTCACCCTTCTGGCCCCATACATGTTTTTCTAGTTATCCTTTTATTTTTTATAATAACGGTCTAATGTAATATTTGTCCTAACAAGACTGAGTTAGTTCCCTCAGCATAATGCTTTCCATTCTCTCCCAAGTTATGTAGTATTTTTTTTTTAAAAAAATTGTTGCTCCTGAGTGATGCATAGTATTCCCTTGTGTGAATATACCACAATTTCTCAATCCATTCACTTACTGTTGTTGAACATTTGGGCTGTTTCTACATTCTTGAGATGGTGAATAATGCTGCTATGAACATTGGTGTACAAATTTCTGGAGAATTTCCACCTCTCCACATCCTCTCCAACATTTATTGCTTGCTGTCCTGCGAAACTTTGTCACTGCTGCTGGGGTGAGATGGTATCTTATTGTGGTTTTAATTTACATTTCTCTTATTGCCAATGATTTTGAGCATTACTTCATGTGTCTGTTGGCTATCTGAATGTCTTTTTCTGTGAAAAGTCTTTTCCTGTCTTTTGCCCATTTTTAAATTGGGTTATCTTTTTCTTTTTCTTTTTTTTTTTTCTGGATCCTTAGTAGTATTCTGTAAACTGTTTAATGAGACCTTTGCTTGAGATGGTGTTGCCAAACATTTTTTTCTCCCAGTTGGTAGGATTTCTTTTCACTCTGATGGAAAAAGATTTTGATGAGTACAGAAATTTAATCTTTAGAAAGTCTTATCAATTTTATCTTCTTCAGAGTGTGCATTTATAGCTGTATTTGTCAGCCTCTTTATACCATAGGCTAGGCCTTCTAAGTTTGAACCCAGCATATGCCTGACGAACTTTATGGTTTTGGGCTCTACTCCCAGGTTTCTGATTCACCTTAAGTTGATTTTTATATATGATGTGAGATGTGGATCCTATTTCAGCTTTCTGCAGGTAGTAGTCCAGTTTTGTCAGTTCCATTTGTTGAAGAGATTGTCATTTCCCCATTTGATAAGTTTAGAGTTTTTAAAATTTTTATTCAATAGGTTTTATTTGACCATAGATAGGTCCATTTCTGGGTTCTCAGTTCTGTTCCATTGGTCCATATGCCTATCATTGTACCAGTACCATGGTATTTTGGTTTCTACCTCTCTGTAGTAGGTTTTGAGGTCAGGGAGCGCTATGCCTCTCACTTCATTTTTGTTTTTCAGAAGTGCTTTGCTTATTCAAGGTCTCTTTCCTCTCCAAATAAACTTGACGATTTCTGTTTTAGTCTCCTTGAAAAATGAATTTGGTATCTGTATTTGGATTGCATTGAACAGATAGATTTTTGGTAGGATTGCCATTTTCACAGTATAGACGTTTCCTATCTATGAAAAGGCATATTTTTCTATTTATTTAGGTCTTTTATTGTGTCTCACAGAAATGTTCTGTAGTTTTCTCTGTGCCAGTGTTTTGTGTCTGTAGTTAGGTTCCTTTCCAAGTACCTCAATTTGTGGTTGTTGTTGTTGTTGTTATGTGCCGTCGAGTCGCCTGCGACTCATAGCGACCCTATGTACAACAGCCCTAAACTCCGCTCTGTCCTGTGCCAATCGCACTGTCTCCGACACTCCCATCCCAATTATCCCAGTCACTGAATCAATCCACCTCCTAGAGGGCCTTCCTCTCCTGTGCCGTCCCAAGCATGATGTCCCTCTCCAAGGACCGGTCTCTCCTCACTACATGTCCGAAGTAAGTTAGACGGAGCCTCAGAATCCTTGCCTCCAAGGAGCCACCCGCTTTAACCCTCTCCAGGACAAATCTATTTGTTTTCCTAGCAGTCCATGGTATTCTCAGTACTCTTCTCCAGCACCACAGCTCAAAGGCATCAGTTCTCCTTCTATCCTCCTTGGTCATTGTCCAATTTGTGGTTGGCTATTGTAAATAGTATTGTTTTCTTGGTTTCTTTCTCTGAGTTCTCTTTGTTAATATAGATGAATTCCACTGATATTTGGATATTGATCTTGTGTCCTGTAACCCTATTAAATTGGTCTACTAGCTCTAACAGTTTTTTAGTTGAGTCCTTGGAATTTTCTATGTACTTTATCATATCATCTATATTTAGTAACAATTTAACCACCTCGTTGCTGATCTGGATGCCTTTTATTTCCTTCTCTTATTACCATATGTATGTACATCCAATACAATATTGAATAGAAGTGGTGACAATGGGCATCCTTCTCTACACTTTTCACTATGCTGAAGAAATTCACTTCTATTTCTATTTTGCTGACAGTCTTAATCAGGAAGAGGTATTGAATTTTGTCAAATGCCTTTTCTGCATCAATTGCTAGGATTATATGGTTCTCGTTATTTGCTTTGTTAATGTGGTGAATTACATTGATTGTTTTGCTTATGTTGAACCATCCTTGTATACCTGCTATGAATCCTACTTGGTCATGATGAATTATTATTTTTGTGTGCTTTTGGATTCTATTGGCTAGGATTTTGCTGAGGATTTTTGTATCTATATTCATGAAAGATATTTTGCCTGGTTTTGGTATTAGGGTTATGTTTGCTTCATAGAATGTCTCTGGGAGTGTTCCTTCTTTTTCTAATTTTTTAAAAAAGTTTAAGTAGAATTGATGATAAATCTTTTCTGTTTGGTAGAATTGACATGAAGTCATCTGGCCCAGGACTTTTTATGTGAGAGACTCTTTTTATGATCTGCGCTCAATTTCTTCTTTTTTGATGGGTCTGTTCAAGTATTCTACATGTATCCATGTCAATATGGGGAGGGCCTGAGTTTCACGGTTTTTGTCCATTTCATTTGTTGTTGTTCTTTTTAAGTGTTGCCGAGTTGTAAACGACTCATTGCAATCCTAAGGACAAAAGACCTGAACATTTGTATAACTTTTACTATTTTTTCCAAGTTGTTAGAGTTTCAGGAGGCAAGCTTTTTCAGAAGTAGGTGCCACTCTTGCTTCCAAGCCTGTTTTAATTGGAGAGCTCCACCAAACACTGTTCACCAAGGGTGATTATCACATTTGACATATCAGTGTAACAGTGTTTACCTTCACAGCAACCATGTAGAGCATACCTCTGTAGAGCAAATTGACAGACCATTTTCTCTAGGTTTTCAAAATTATCAGAGTATAGTTTTCCATATTTTGCTGTTGTTGTGTTGTTGTTGTTAAGTGTCGTCGAGTCGCAGGCGACTCATAGTGACCCCATGAAGGAGAGTCCTCGACGCTTGGGTGCCTTTCATCCTCTCTCCAGGTTCGTAGGGTTTCTGGAGGCAAGCTATCATACAAGTGGATGCCACTCCTCCTTCCATGCTTGTTTTAGTTGGCGAGCTCCACCCCACTCTCTGTCTGCATTGGGTAGCCAACCATTAACACATTTGACACATCCGTGTCACAGTGTTCAGCCGCACAGCAATCACAAGTGCCTGCGGGACAGCAACTTGTACACCAGGGCTATACCATCTAGAGAAATGTCTGAACAAAAATAATGAAACACTGGCCTGAGGGCCACGGATTAAAAGTCATCCACCTTGGTCTTGGTCACATCATTTTCTCATCACTGGGCCAACTGATCTCTCTCTCTCTATTTTGATGTTAGCTTTCCATAATATTTGGATGTTATTGATTGAAACTCTCTGGTTCTGCTATGATGTCACTTCTATCATTTCTTAATCAAGTTATTTGTGTCTTCTCATTTTTTTTCTTTTGGTAAGTTTGCCAATGGTTTGCCAATTTTATTGAATTTTAAAAAAGCAAGCATTGGTTTTATTGCTAGTTTGAATTATTTCTCTATTTTCTATCTCATTGATTTCAGCTCTTCTTATAATTTCCTTTCTTCTAGAAGCTTTGGGGTTAGATTGTTGCTCTTTTTCTATTTGATGAAGTTGTTGAGTTAGAGCACTAATTTTGCTTCTTTCCTAATTTTTTATGTGCTTTTCTATTGGTATTGACTGCCCCCTGAGGACTGCCTTAGCTGCATCTGAGAGATATTTGCGTGTTGTATTTTCATTATCATTTGTTTCAAAGAAATTATTCACTTCATTCTTTATATCTTCTTTAACACAATTGTGTTCTAGCACGGTGTTATTTAGCTTTCACCTTGGTTATTTTATAAGCTTTATCCTCTTGTGGTTAATTTCTAGTTTTATGTCATGTGGTCTAAGAAGATACTTTGTATTATTTCAAAGCTTTTAAATTTGCTGAAGCTTGCTTTATGCCCTAATAGGCATTATTATGCCTTTCCCAAGATTTAAAATATCACTTTTTAGTTGTGTAGAAGGAATGCAAGGTTCAGAGAGTAAACCAGTGTGAAGAAGAAAGAGATTTTTGGAGATATGGTTTCACTTCTACATTCCATACTACTTCTTATTCAGTGTGTATCCTGAAAATAAAAAGAAAACATTCTCCATGTAGAATAAGAATCATTACAGTTTTCATGTAATTTCATGACTTTGATTCATGATAACAATTAATACTGGAAGTCTACTATTGGGAATAAGAATAAATGGAAATGCAAACATAATTTGCAGTCCTTTTCTTTTATTCTTAAACTTGGTGTATGCTTTTGAATTATCTTCTGTCCATAGTTTTTCTGTTCTACTTTTTTCCTCTTTCCATTTATTTTGTCCCTGATTTTATATCATTTACGTTTCAGTATAACCATCACTTTTTTATAGTTTAAATGAGCTTCATTCTCTAACACTCCCCCCTTCATTAGCTTTGCTGACTCATATTTTAGCACTTGGCTCTCTTATTGCATTAAGCATATGAGTATTTTGATACTCACCTGTGAGGCAGGCACTAAACTGGGCACGACGTAGTATACAATGATTCACAAGGCCAGAAGGTTGACCTTACTGTTGCAGCTCATACAAGAGGGAGAGAGAAAAAGTACTAGCTAAAATTGCCATGTTGTTGTTGGTATTATGTGTCATCAAGGTGGAACCAACACATAGCTGAACTTGCAGTGGGTTTTCAGAGGCTGTATATCACATGGGAAGAGATTGTCCATCTTTCTCCCTCAAAGTAAGTGGTGAATTCTATCACCTACCTTTTGAATTTGCAATGTAACTCCTTACCACCAGGCCACCAGAGCTCCCAAAATTTCCATAAGAAGTAAAAAGTAAAAGATAAGATCCTTAGAAAATCAACAGCATTAAAATTTTACGTAGTCTGAGTGGGATCTCAGAAAAAAAGGTAGATTTTTATTGTTAGGTACCTTCACGTTGACCATGACCTATAGTGACCCTATGAACAGATCTGTACCCTACCCTGTCCTGTATCATCCTCATCATTTCTCATAAAATTATCTGACAGCACATTTTTTACAGCCACTGTATTAATCCATCTTCTTGAAGGGTTTTCTCCTTTTTCTTAATTTTATTATTTTTTAATCTTTTTTTTTGTGCATGTACTGTCAAATCAGATCTGACTGATACAGAAGGAGATTGCCCTTCCTTCTCCAGCAGAGCATCTGATGGATGTGAACCACGTACCTCTGGGATGGCAGTGCAGCTTCTTGCTACTAGGTCACCAGAGCTTGTTTTCACCTTTTGCAATGATGTTTTCACCTTTTTCAATGACCCTTCGCCTTAACAAATATGATGTCATTTTCCAAAGACTAGCCCCCCTTACAACATGCCCAAAATATGTGTGACAAAATTTCACTGTCTTTGCTTCTAAGGAGCACAATGGTTCTACTTTCTCCAAAACATGTTTGTTTGTTCTTTTAATGGTTCATGAGATATTCAGTAGTCTTTTCCAATACCATGACTCAAAGACATAATTTCTTTTTCTTTTTCTTTTCTTGTTTCGTACTGTCAAATCAGACCTGACTGGCACAGGAGGAGATTACACCTCTTTCTCCAGTGGAGCATATGATGGATTTGAACCATTTGCCTTTGGGATTGCAGTGCAGCAATCATTTAACATAATTTCTTTTAACATCTTCCTTATTCATTTTTTAACTTTCAGATGCATAACAGGTAATTGAAAAGACCAAAGGGATATGCTGTTGTTGTTTTTAGGTGCCAGTAAGATGAATAGTACTCACAGGGCCCTTAGGAACAATAGATCTGAACATTGTCCTATCCTGTGCTATCTTTGTAATTTCTGACACACTCAAGACTCTTGCTGTGGTCAACCCTACCTGGTTGAGGGTCTGTCCCTCTTTTGCTGCCCCTTCACTTTTCCAGCATTAAACAACGACAAAAAAAACAAATCAGGTAAGAAAATTATTATGTGAAAAATTCTAGAGAATAAAGAAACAGGAGGTGTTGATGATATGTTAATAGATTAGTGAACTTAAAGAATGTGTATGAAATAAATTGGAGCAGGAAACAATGGGCATATTGCTGTGTTCATTTGCATTATTTTGGATACTACATCGCAGTGGCTTTCTCCAAAAGGGCACAAGAGAGAAAACTTTTTGAGGTCAGAAATAATGTCAATTTCAAGCTTCCATTACAATAACACAAGAGTAAAAGATAATAAATTCTCTGTATATACATCTGATTTTTTGTTATTTTAGATAAAAGGAAATTAGTTTTTCAAGGTTTAATTCCTAACTTCTGGTTGAAGGAAATGGAGGGAAAGAGGAATAGGAAGTACCTCAGTGAAGAAAGTGGAGGACGGAGTTGATGATGAGACTTGAGGAGGCTGCAACTGGTCGTTGTTTGCAGATGTGCCCTCCGCTGAAGAACAGGAAGGCTGACCCTGCTCCTCAGTAACCTTTTTCTTTTTGGTTACAGGCTTCTCCTTAGTTGTGCTCTTGCGTTTCTGAAAGTACATATATTTGCAAACTAATGATTTTAATTATCAAACGAAGTACAACATATTTTTATTGTTGTGTAAACTCAATTAAATTATACGTCATGTGGTTGGAACTGGATCTGGCCCTCCAGTGGGTTTTCAGAGAGCATAAACTGCATGGCATGAGAGAGCCCATCTTTCTCCCATGGAGTCACTGGGGACTCAAACTGTCAGAGCAGCACCACCTTTAGGTTAGTAGCATAGCTCTCTACCCACTAGGCCACCAGGGATCCTTTAACCTTGTGCAGTGGGTTCTAAATAAGGGGATGTCTTGAAAGTTCCAGAGATTTCTATCACAAAGCCTGAAGAGATAATTAGTAGGCAAGACGTAGATGGCACAGATGTTTGCTTAAACAAAGGCAAGTTCTCCTTTAGCAAATACAGAACAGTAGAATGGGAAGAATTTGAAAATTTGTGTGTATTTGGGAAAATTTTCCCCCCTAGTTTAATTGAGAACTTACATTTATAATGAGATAGCAATATTCTCATTATGTCTCAGTAACTTTCCATTCATTATATTTGCTATATTGCCCATTTCAGTGCCTAGCACATGGGAGATAAGTAATAGTTAATTCATTTTCGTAAATATGAAATGTGTTGAGATGTTAATCAAGAAGCAAATATCCGCATAGTTAGAATGAGTGCAAAAGTCATAGTAGAAGTTTCTTCTGTGAAACTTCAAGGCTGTGCTCTTTCTTCAGGCTTACCTGACCTTCTTTTGTGGTGGTTGTGGGTGATGCAGGATTTGTTCTATCCTGATTGCTCCTTTGACGTGGAGTTTTTGTTTCTTTAGTTTTCTTTGCAACTATGATGCAGAAATAAGGAATACACAATAGTTTCAATATTATTTATTTCCCTTTCCTGTTTATGGATCAAAACATACTTTTGCCTACCTCGATTACATTAACAGAGTCTAGGAGCAAATCAGGTAAAGACATAGCTGGCTGTATCTCTTTCATATTCCTATACAATGAACACATCTGTCCTGTCCTCTGAACTCCCATGCCCCCCACCCCTTTTTTTGGTGGATTTTTTTTATTCGACAGTATTTTATTTTGCTCACAAAGTTCATATATATTTCACACTATTCTTCATTCTGTTTAATACACTCATTTCCATGTATCATGTTTTATAAAATCAACCACCATTGGACCTTGCCCATCATTACCCAATCATTTCAGGTCCCTGCCAAATCCTTCCCATTTCTTTTACTCCCGTCCTCCACCCACCAAACTCTGCAACCTTTTAGTTTTATGCCTACCAATCTTGACCCTTTTGCTCCCACCCCTTTGATCCTTGGGTTTCTATTGCCCTTTTATATATCTAGCCTCCTCTTGATACTGATCGAAGAGTGTATGGTATAGTTCACAGAAGATCTATGAAAATTAAAGAATCCAAATTATATTAAATATAAATTCAATTGTGATATTATAAACTAGAGATGTTAGATTTTGATATTTTAAAATAATTTGTTTAAATACAGTGATTTTACAGATAAGTAAGTCCAAAATTATCTTTTTAGTGCAGAGGAAAATAATGAAAAAATAATCTTAATAGAGAAAGTACAGTAATTGCTTACATGCAAATATTTTTAATATAAAACCAAACATTTATTTTGTCATTTTGCTTTGATTTTTTCCTAACCTTTCAAATGCACTGATAATCTCAAAGTTTCTCAAAATTTTTCTCTTTTGTTACTTATCTGAACCCAAATACACCTTTCAAAATATGTCAATCTTCAGTGCTGGAAAGGAAAACACATATATGTAAACTGGTTGCCATGTGAGGGTTCGCCACTATGGTGACTTCTGAGTCTTCCACTGGCAAAGAATTTTATCAGCTATCGTTAACACAAAATTCTATTCAAGGCTGTAATGCATGTAATGTTGGATAGACTGAGGCAGTCTCTTCTATTACCTTTTATCATTGCTTTTCTAAGATTTTCAATGATATCTTTTTTGAGATCTTTGATATCTTTGAACAAGTCTATCAGTATTTTTACACAGGCACCATTTGGGAACTTTTCTTCCATTAAGTCAGCGATCTTAATTCTATCATATTCTTCTTGTGTTTTCTTTGTCAATTGCAAATCATCAGCCAGTAAAGACTTAACTATGTTAAAGTGATAATCATTGATGACTTCCAAACCCTGCAGCAGAATAATTTTCTTGTATTCATTCCCCATCTTTTAAAATTATGTCTCAGCCTACAAAAGAAAAAAAAAGTTCAGTGTTATACATTTGTATAGTTTAAAGGACTGGAGGAAGGAAAAGGTCATTTAGATGGCCAACAGACAGATGAAGAAATGTTCAAAATCAGTGACAATAAGAGAGATGCAAATAAAAACTATAATGAGATACCATCTCACACCAGGAACAGTGGCAAAGTTTAACAGGACAGTAAGTAATAAATGTTAGAGAGGATGTGGAGAGGTGGGAACTCTCATACAGTTTAAACTCTTGATCTCTAAGGAGAAGTTTGGACATTTGAGTCTATCCCAAACTCACTACAGTCAAGTCAATTCTGACTCATTATGACACTCTACTGGGTTTCCTAGGGAGCTCTGGTGGCCGAGAGGTAAGAAGCTGCACTGCAATCCCAAAAGCACACAGTTCAAATCCACCAGCTCTTCTGTGGGAAGAGGAAGGAAAATATCCTCCTGTCTCCAGGATGGTCAGCAACGGGATAGTTCCTACTCAACGGCACAACTCACTGACAACAAGTGGGTTTCCAAGGTTGTAAATCTTAATAGGAGGAGACTGCCTTTCTTTCTCCCCTAGAAACACTGGTAGATTCAAACCACCTTTTCCATTAGTAGCACAACATCCTGTAGGCTATGCCCTATATACATCACAGTCGAGTTGTGCTCCAATAGAGCTTTCAATAGCAGTGATCATCTGAGTGTTTCTCTAAAGGCATCTCTAGATGGGTCAGAACCACCAATCTTGTGTAGCCAAATGTGTAAATATTTGTATTACCCAGGGACTTCAATTTGCCTTTCTAAATGCTAAACAATGAATTCCAAATATATCTTATTCAGGGATTTCAGAAAAAGGAACTCTGAATCAATATTAAAAAATATTTTTGAAATTAAAATTTTGTACCTAGTCAAAGTTACGTAAGTGTTAACACTTAAAAAAAAGCAAAATAATTATTCTCTAATGTTCAAAGATTCTGAAATTTTATATTATAAACAGTCAAGCCAATATTTCTATGGGCATAAAAAATAAATAGTAATAAACAAATAAGACTAAAACAAACAGTAATAAAGTAAATACAGCCAAGGAAGACTAGAGGCCAGAAGAGAAACAAGAGTGAAGAAAGGTCTGAATTAGTTATCCTAGTCTTAAAAATAAATAGACTCAAAAGCAGAAAGCAGGAAGTATATCAACAGAGTCGAGTAGAGCGAGGGGAACCAGAGGTTATGACACTTTGGTCAAACAATTTTCTTTAAGGAAAAGACAAATTAAAAAAGAAGCATAAAAAGGCAACTGAATATAGTAAAAATGCCACAAATTGGAACAATGTACAAGGCAGACACAACATATTTTGAGAATTCTGGTGATGGTAAAGGATATTAAAAGTAAAGTGAAAATTATGATTTAGAAAAAGGAAAGCATTATCTGGGTGATTCATCTGTCTTATTGACACCTGGAGTCTAATTTAAAAGCCTCTAGATTTCTCCTGACCCACATTAAGGTCAGCAAAATGTAAAAGTTCTAATACTGGAACTCCCTTTAGCTAATCACATGTATAATAATATGGGAAGCCAAAAAAAGGTACTTTGCTCTTATTGTGTTTGAGGTTAAGAAGGTGCCTACTTCAGAAGTAAAAGAAAATGCTATTAAAATGGATAGGTGTTAACTATCTTATCACTGAGTCAATTTTAACTCACAGGTGAAATAATAGAGCTACCAGTAGCGCTTCATAGGCTGTGATCTTTACAGGAGTGAATCCATCACGTCTTTTCTCCCACAAAAGCTGCTGGGTAAGTACTAAATGTCAAACTTCAAGTTAGCACTGAGCCATTAACTGCTATATCACTAGGATTCCTTATGCCTCATGCTAGGCCAATAGAGAAAAAGAAAACTATATCATAAAATGTGGATAGTACACTTAATTGACTCTCCTTGCTTTTTACTGATTCACTGCCACAATCACCGTCTTGTTTTAAGAAAAGCATGGCTCAGTCAAAAAGAGCTGAAACTGCACCTCTGAAGCCGGATGTGGAGTAGAGTTTGAAATGAAAATAAGTCATGAGAAAGAGAAAAGTCACATTTTTTTTAAAAAAAACTGTATTTGTGGAACTGAGAAATTAAATTCTAATATATATAATGTGCTTGATTTTAAAATTTGGGCTAAAACCTTTGTAATTCAAACTTACATCTTGGTTTGTTCCCCTCCCCCAACTATTTCATGATACATTTCTCATGCCACTGTCATGTTTGTTTGTGGGTTCCCCACCCCCAATCCGGTTGCTATCATAACCACCAAGATTTCTTCCTATTCTCCAGCAAGAAAAAACAAAGCTTTTCTGTAAATAACAACCCTCCCAACAGGCAGATGGGCAATTAACTGTTACACTTCCTATAGTCAAATGGAAAGGCCAATCATTAGTAGGAGGTTTGTTTAGCAGAGAGCTAGTAAAAATGAGACAGACTTTTCAGATGCATTACACTGCTGCTGCAATGGGTTCCAACATACACTCATTAAGATGGCACAGAACTCGATGTTTCATTCTGTCAGATCTGAAAGTTTCCATGAGTTAGAGGTGCTCTAAGGCAACTAACAGTAAATAGTTAAAATACAGCTCTCACTGTTCAAGTTGCATGTGTAGTAGTATAAAGGTCCTCTGTTTTCTCGGTATAGAGATAAAGGATTTGAACTAAGCTCTTTCAGTGTTCAGTTCTCTGGAATATAGTTGATGCCAGACAGTTTCCTCCCAGACATAGTTAATTCTCTTTTTGTGATTGATGGCTGTCGGATAGGTACCCAGAGCTCTACACAAACTCCCACCGTACTCACTTCACTGGAGACTTCCTTAAGTAATCTGGGTCTTGAAGTCCTCAGAAACACAGAAGCACACTTTGTCTTCAAAAGAAAAAAAAAATAATCCAGGAAGCCCTTCAGAGACTGACTACAGGATGCTGTTACCTTGTGAAAGGCTGAGAGGAAAACTCTTTTTTTGTGTGTGGGGGAACCCAAAACAACCCCCCAAAGAAAAAACCAGGAAAAATGGCACTGATGAGATTGACCTAAGTTGCTTAGATCCAAGTTGCGCAAAACTCACTCTTAAGGAACCAGAAAATATGTCTTTAAAAACAAGGAGGCTCCACCTACTGAAATGAAATGGATAAGTTTCTATTTCCTGAGACTGAAAATCTTAGTCACAAGGAGAAACGAAACCAAAGTACTTCTTTCTTTCTTTCTTTTTTTTTTTTTTTTTTTTTGGTTACATAGCAGAAGCTGAAAGTTCCAGTCTTAGAGCTTTGCTATCTAGATGGTATATATGCGGATAAGGAGAAACTGTGTAGTCTGTAGTGAATTGCACTGCTAACTGAAGTGACACCTCTAAATCCATTACTGGCTCTGGGAGAGAAAGATTGGCAATCTTCTCCCATGTGATTTTACAGTCTCTGAAAATCCACTGGAGGGCTGGATATGAGTTTGTTTTGACTTGACAGCAATGAGTTTGGGTTTTCTGTACGGCCCCATAAAAAGCCTGGTGCCACAGTGATTAAGAGCTCAACTGCTAGCCAAAAGGTGTAAGCTTGAATCTACCAGATCCTCTTTTGGAAGTAAGATAAAGGAACAATAAAGATGTGACAGCTTGTGTCCATAGAGATTATACAGATTACAATCTTCTTGATGATAATGCTTTCTTGTTGCTTCCCTCCCCACTTAAACAAATTTCAAAGGGGACAAGTGAGTCACCAACAAATTTTCCCACCTATCCTAATCACAGGGTGGTAGTTGCCATTGCAGAAAGAGATCACAGAATACAGTTGCTTGCTATTATAAGTTTTCATTATTGTCTTTAAAGGCAATATCAACGTCCACTCCAATGCCTCCTGCATACATTGGACCTTAGGGAGATGTACTCCCCAACACATCCAAATAGAATGCTGTTACGTAACACTTGACAAAGCTGCAACTTAATTTAATAGAAGCAAATTGCCATTGCAAGTATGCAAAGCCTTTCTCAACACAGAAAATTTCACACTATCTTCTTGACTATAATTACACTTCAATACCTTGATAAGTAACTATTGCAATTAAAACTCCTCAGACTGATTGCGGTACAGTTGAAACTGTTTATAGCTCATCCCTAGCTGGGTTTCCTAGGTTATAAATCACTACACAGCAAAGTGCTTATCTTTCCCCTTTCAAATTCTGTAAGAGTACTGAACTTCAGAGAGAGCTTTTTATTGTCATTGTTGTGTACCATCAAGCTGGAATAGACTCATAGCAGACCCTCCAGTGGATTTTCAGAGTCAGTAAATTGCACAGAAGGAGACTGCCCATCTTTTTCCTGCAGAGCAGCTGGTGAATTTGAACTGTGTGCCTTTGCGTTGACAGTGCACCTCCTTACAATTAAGCAATCAGAGCTCTAAGATCTGGTAAATCATTTTCTTCCTCTGTCTCTATCCTTCCCTTCCTGTCCTGGAACCCTTGCACATGTACCTGTGCATTTTGGATATGGTGATATTAAAGGAATGTCTATACCGCAGATCACAATAACCTCTACTCTAGAGTATCACATAAGTATTGACAAGGAGTTATTATGTTTCTTTCTAGCTGAACTGCAGACAGCTTGAGGTCACACCAAAAAAAAAAGAAAAAAAGGAGTCCCAAAAGACAGCCAGTGTTGGTAAATGACAACCTCTGTGTGATCATCTAAAAACCAAAGCCAAATCCACTGTCACTGAGACAATCTTGATTTATCACAAACTCATAGGTTAGAATGAAGTTGCTCCTTGGGATTTTCCCATCACTAGTGGCATAAGTACCAGTAACACATCTGGCTGCTAAACAAAATGTAGGTGGATCAAATCCACCCATCCCTCTGGGAGAAAGATGAGTCATTTGTAAAGACTAACAGCCTCAGAAACTTGCTGGAGCGTATCAGTGAATCAGAATCCACTGAATGGTAGTAAGCCTGATTTGAGTGATGAATAGTCTTTA